CGATTTTATAGGGACAGTCCCACTTTGGGGGTCTTTTTCTTATATAGGCTCCTATTACCCTCTTCCCTGTCCCGATTTTTGCTGGTCACCCTCCCAGCCACCCAAAGCTCCTGGTCCCTGCACTCCCCAACCCCTAGCTGTCTCCCTATCCCCAGCACGCCCCTTGGCATCGCACCGGGGGACACTTTTAGGGGCAGGAAGAAGGTCAGGAATGGGAAAGACAGCTCAGGATTCGAATAGTTTGTCATCCTGCTTTAGTATTCTCCCTTGTATACAGGTACATACATTTGAGGAGGTTATGCTAATTATCAACTAATCTTCAGTATTTTCCATACCAGACATTTCAAACCACTGTATAATTTAAGTGTTATTGGTGGTTGTCACCATGATCCTTCCAAACTAACATGGTTTCCATCAGATTTAATGCAGTTCAGCAGCGGGGAAGGAAGGGAGGGAGGGGAGTAGGACTTAAAACAAAAAAAAAACAAGAAATGGGATGGTGTGGGGGGCTGCCACAGCCAACAAGACCTGTCTAATACCGCAGTGATTCTCAGTAAAGGCATCCTATAATCACGACAAGCCTCATGTGATCCCATATTCTATATTTAATAGATAAGGCAATGCTTTACTTCTCTACAGCACTACCTTTCATCTAGAAGAACTGGTATTTAATGTATCATAGGAGCTGCGCTCAGAGAGTCGAGGCACCCCTAGGAATATTGAAAGCACGACAAGTTGCAGCAACAATTTAGCTTCGAGGTAGTGGTGCATGGAAAGAAGGGAAGAGAGGAATTTTAAAGTTAGCTGTTAGGAAGAAAGGGGAAAATGAAAGAAAAGTAATGAAACAAAAATAGGAAAGAAAAGACATTAGACAAAGTCTTGGACAAAGAGAGGAACTTTGCACCTTATTTTGAAAGGCAATAGAGGTTAAAGTTCTAACAGACCCCCAGCGGGACTTTCAAATAGCCAAGAACCCTCCACTGAGAATGTCTTGCCTCCGGCTCTCAAGAGTACTTGTAACCCATTGGTCATTATGTCCCCTTCTGCACTCGATCCACAGAGCATGCAAGTCCATTACGGCCTCCAGGTCAGAACCTGGCTCTTAGCTCAAGCTGTAGAAACATGTGCTTTCAGCTCTGGAGGTCTCCAATTCAATTCTCCATGTGGTGTCTGCACAGAGAGACACCTAGGTACTGTTGTCAGGCACCGTTCAGATGGCATGGTGGCCCACAGGGCAAGAGAAGGGTCCTAGGGGTTCCTCTAACCTACCCCAGCCGGCAATTGCCCGAGTGCACTGTGCTTCCACCATGCTAGAGCTTGATGTGGAAATAGGGCGGGACCCAGCTATGCTGGCTCTGTGCCAGCTGATAAGTCCCCCCCACACACTGGGAGAATTCGCAG